ACAGCAGGCACCAGGAATTGGGGCTCCTAGCCTCCCAAACTGCAAAGATAAATGCTGGTTCTTTGAAACCACCCATTTGTGGTGTTTCTGTGACAGCAGCACTAGGAAGGCCAGGTCCCTTGTCTCCCATGACGGGCAGGGATCCTTGCCTCAGCCCTGCCCTTATGTCCCCACCAGCCCCTCCTCCTGGCTGTCCCCACTCCCATCCAGGAGCTATCACTGTGTCACAGTGTCCTGCCACACATAATTTTCTAGGTATTAAAAGATAAATTATCCAGGATCAAGATGGTAGCACCATCAACAAAATGTCATTTTGTTTTCTTAGAAAAATTGAAATAAAAATAATATACCTTTAGGAAAATTAAAAAATGTTAATCCTTTCCTTTGCACATGTAGCCTATAAAACAAAAATAGGGATTATTATAGAAACGTTTCCATAGAATGTTTGCGGTAGGACTGATATTCTAATGACAGGGAATTCTCAGTATATCCTTATACAATTTCATACAACTCAAGCTTTAGAGTATACAGTTTTCACGTAATCAGAGCTCAATCTCTGACTATAATCCTTTCCTTTTAGCCATTCGGTGAAGACCTACAACTCCTGTGTCTAAGACTATGTAAGTCTCCTGCAAAACTACAAATAGGTCTCCTGTGTCTTCATGGAAAGGACTTCTCTCTGTGGGTGCTGAAGAAATGGAAGAGTTTGACAGATGGCCATTGGATTCTAGAAGGATCCTTATTACAAAGATTCTGTTGTGATTACTTCCCATATTGTCTATGCTTTCATCTGCAAGTTACAGAACTACGTTTTCTGTTTGCCACTTAATATTCATGTATATAATTCCATACAAAGATGACAGATGAACTAAATTAAATGACCACAGAGCTAACAGATCAAAAGTTTATTTCACACGGCCATAATGCAGTCAGGTTTGGGAAGCACAGGATAGATCAGAACAAATGAGGAAGTTCAAGTCGAGAAGTATTATGTGTCTTCCCTACCTCCCCTAACCAGAAATAGATAGTTACTATATTTTATCGGAGCATCTTTCCTTGTAAGTAAGCAAGTAAGCTAAACTCTGAGTTGCCCCAGTTGGTTAATCAGCTACAGGGAGAGGAACTCAAAGGAGCCAAAGCCAGATGCCTCTCACCTTAAGTTAAAATGCCAGCAAGTCAATATCAGATAGTATACAAGATGGAATGCCAGCTTGGGGTGTCCATCATAGCCAGGAAATCCAGGGACTTTGGAAGTAAAAATTGTCAGTCAAGTCACAGAAGCCCAAGTCATTCTGAAAGAGGTGGGGAGGACGGGTGCTGTAGTCTGGAGAGACAAAATAGAAAGTGACCTGAATGAATTGTAGAGACAATATCAGTGGTGTCATTGAGAGAGTGCAGAGGTGTGGACCAGGGGACACTGTCAGAATGTGTGAGACCAAAATGACCACCTATGCAGTATTTGTGCAGTGTTTCAGCAGAAATTTATTGTTTTTTCAATGAAAATACATCTGTAGTTTGTTATAACAACAATATTGTTTTATACAAGTCCAGCTTACATGTATCGATATACCTACAAGATTAAAACTCTGTGCTAATTTACTTTTTGAACCTTCTAATGTGCTCTGGTCAGAGCTGTCCTTACTACCCAATTACAATGACAATTCGAATCATGTGATTTCATATGCACACACAATAAGCACATGCTGTTTTTTTGTTGTTGTCAGAATTTTTACTATCGCTATTTTTGTCAAATTCTATAATGTTTTTGGTACAATACTGTGGTAATTAGTGTTTGTGAACCTATAGCAATAACGTTTTGAGAATGAATAATTGAAGGAAAAGGAGAAAAATCAAAAGGCTTCTGATCAGTTACCAATAAATTGCAACTAATAATGTTGTAATTCAATGTAGAACGATTTTACAAAACAATTTTGTTGTTAGTATTCATGTAATCTAAGAATATTACAACTATAAAAACCAAAAACCACACTCACTGCTGTCGAGTCAGATCCAACTCACAGCGGCCCCTCCTTGGGTTTCTGAGGTAGTATCACTACGGAAGTAGATTGCCCAATCTTCCTTCTGAGGAGTGGCTGGTGGGTTTGAACCCCCAGGCTTCTGGTTAGCAGTCAAATGGCTTAGGCACTATACCAGGAGAGCTCATTTATCACATATTATTCTATGGTTGAAATTGATAACAAGCATTACTGAGAATTCTGTGTGTTCTGGTATGACAGGAGGTCCATGTTGTATGTGTATGTGGGAGGGGGTGACACCATGAACTACTCACTAGATGACACCCACCTGAGTGATGCCACTGGGCCATACCCTCGGCTAGAACTGCATGCAGTGTGTACATTTCCATATGTTGCAACAGCTTAAAGGCACCATATGCAAATAGACCAACAGCCATATTTCCAATATTAAAGTAAACTCCAATATGAAGAGGCAATTCTGTGGAATCATCCTTAAAACATCTTAAGTCGATAAGATTATGTGCATTTGGAGAGAAGAAACCTCCAGGCTTGTCTTTCTATGTTAAGTGGATAATATACTTTCAGGTCAAAGTAGTTGCCTTTCACATATTTGGTGCACAGTAAATTCTGAACTACATTAAATGTAAAAAAGGACCTCAAATGACAACAATTGAGAGGAATCATCAAGCAAATTTACTTTGGCAAAATTCCCACAATATCAGCTACGCTTTTGAGAGCACAAGGAAGCATGTGACTCATAAAATGAGCAGAATCCCAAGAGAGGGACCAATTTCTGAGAAAAATCACTTTTATTTTAAAGGAAACATTTCTTTTCTTTATAATTCCCACTTTGCCATCTTCATGGTTTAATAAATGCATATTTGTGGAAATAATTAAATCCCTTTCAAAACAGTCAGTTCCTCCCTCATTCATTCAGACCCCCTGGTTGTCTGTACTTCTTCTTAATGCTCTGCCTTTTATATGAATATCCATGGAGGACTTTCACACTAAGATGCTGACCAAAATTTGTCGGTGACATCCATGAAAGTTAATATTGTCACCTTTGGTGATTAATCAAATTTGCTCTAAACGGGATTAATTCGGGTGTATCTATGAAGAAGATTGTTAGGGTACATGCCTCTCTTCTCATTTGTCCCCGGGTGTCCCCCCCCCACCCCCGCTGAATTGAAAATGAGCTGAGCTATAATCTTGCATGACAGATACTGGAGCCTTCCTTTGATAAATATCTAAAATGCTAATGAATGAGGGCCATAGTTCTGAAAGAGCCAGGGAACGATTTGACAAGAATCTGGAGGGTTTGGAAAAAAAAAAAAAAGTCAGAAACAACTTTTTGACTTAAAAGAACTCTTTTTGTTCACATTCCATATTGTTTCCTGGAGAAAACACTTTGCTCCTTGGAAAAAACAGAAAAAAAAATCTTGCTCCATCAAAATGCGGAAGGAAGCATGAAAAACTGATGAGCTTTCAGATTGTCCTCTTTCGCATGCAAATCATAACAGAAGTTCTCATTAGCATAAATGCATGAGCAACTCTAAATGCTTTTAATTTCCAATCTCAGCCAGCAGAGGAGTAATTTGTCACTGTCAGGGTGAAAATCTAAAAGGAAAAAAAGAGAGAGAGAATGACTCCATGCTAAATTGGAATCATATAAATTTTTGATTTGCTAATTGACTGATGCTGCAGTTCAATCAGCTGCCTTGAAGGTGTAAATAATTCAATGTACAGTCAGAAATAACAGCATAATGTCGTCTACCTAAAGCGTATTAGTATTCAGGGCTGCAAGATGTACCTGACCACGTCTTTCTCACAGATACTCTCCCTTTTGTCAAATTATAAGTCTTCTGCAAGCAACTGCACTCATCCAAAAAAAAAAGAAAAAAACCTCACCTTTCATATGTCTTCAGCTCTGCAAGTAAGAGACAGTAGGGCCAAAGAAAGAGAACTCAGCAACCTTTAAGCATGGGCCTCCCAGCAGGTTCCAACTGAAACACATGAGCTGCCTTAGGTGTGTAACTCACCAGGGCAATTATAAGGAGAAAAGGGGAAAAACCCGGACATAAAATCTGCCTTCTCCAGCTAACGGCCAATATCCCCATCCTTTAGCCTGCACGCAGCTTCATTTCATAATGTAGTTCTCTAAAACCAGCATCTTTACCTGGAAGCACTTTAATCTGCTTTATCCAAAAGTTAGTTTATAAATATCCTAGGAAATGGTCTTTAACTCAAAACCAAAGGGAACTCATTTTATGAAAGTTCCAACTAAAGCTGCATTTTATCTATTAATCTGGTATTTTATCTGGTAACAATCTTGAACCAGGAAGACCAAGAATATAGGCTACAACCATGCCTTTGAGTAGCTGAGTAGCGCCTGATGCTAAAAGGAAAATGCCCTGCCCCATGAGAATTACAAACAGAAAATAGCTTTAGACTCATTACCCTGATGCGAGATTACTGAGCACGTAAATGTCAACAGTCAAGTAAATTCAACTGAACTAGTTTTCGGCGGCAGGATACAGATACCAGCCTTAATAACACATGCTTTTAACGATTTATAACCAATACCGCTGGTATTGAAAAACTCTCCCGCACCTACTGATACATATGCGTAGAAAAGTAAAGGAACACAAAGCTAAATTCTATGAACTTAATTCAAGTACAGGATTTAAAAATTAAGGAAAAGATAGCTTATCTCTACTCAACCTCACTCAGACCTCATGCTAAATTCTGACTCAGTTCCTGTCTCTAGAACCCTTGTTCTTCAACGGTCCTTCCAGACAACTAGCCTAAAATTGTTTGGAGTGCCGGAGAGAGCTCAGTATCACATAATGCAAACCTAGGAAGTCCTAGGCAATATGTCTTATGGGTGGTTGCTTTGTTTGAAATGGCCTTTCATTCACTGCCCAACCCTGACTCCTTGCCTTCCCCCTCTGGGAAGGGCTACAGCAGAACAAGAAGAACAAACATGTGTCTGTCGTAGCTTTTGAATTTGAAGGATCCAGGCTTTTAAGTCTCAAGAACCTGGGCTTCTAAGCACAAAAACCTTTGGCCTTTTCCGTCATAAAGTTTCTGTTGGGAACAGTAAGTACGAAGTGTAAGTGCCGAAGCATGGCGCTCAGAGAAGCAGGTGACCACGTCAACATAAGGCAGCGATTCCCCGTCCCGGCACGCTGACATTGCGGGTGGAGAGTCCGTGGTCGTGGGGCCCCTCCTGTGCACTGTAGGATGTTCAGTGGCACCCTTGGCCCCCACCCACTAGTTGTCAAGAGTACACACACTCATTTTGTACCCCAAAATGTCTCCAGACGTTGCCAAATGCCCCCGTGGGTGGGGGGCAGTAGCAACGCCATATGAGCCAGAGTAGGATTTTCTACAAGATTTTTCAGTGGCTCATTATTTGGAAAAAAAAAAATCGCCAGACCTTTCTCCTTTCTTCTGAGCAGCCTCTGGTTGAATTTGAACCTCCAACCTCTGGTCAAGAATACTGATCATTTGCAACAGCCAGGGACTCGTAATCCCTGCTTGAGAACCATTGTTAGCACGGTGATCCCACTTTGTAGTCAATGAAAAAAAATTATATATCTGTATAAAGCAAAGTCCCCACCCTGGAGTCCATTCAGACTCATAGTGGGCCCTGTAGGGTTTCCAAGGCTGTAAATCTTTAAAGAAGCAGACAGCCTCATCTTTCTTCTGCGGAGAGGCTGATGGGTTCCAAGGCCCACCCTTTAGGTTTGCAGGCCCCTGCCTTAAGCACAAGCTGCCAGAGCTGTCTATGTATCTGTGTTGTATATAAACATATATTGATAGAGAGCGAGAGACATGCATCATGCATAAATAATTATGTGTGTATATGTGTATTCCTATGAGCATGGGAGAAAAGCAGAGAAGGACACCTGCAAGTTGTTAATATTGATTAACTGAGTAGGGATAGGGGCAGGCAGAAAGGGAGAACCGGGCAGGAGACTGGAAAAATGAAGAGAGAAAGGAAAGAAAAGAAAACACAGACCTTAAAAAGCACAACATGCAAGATATGATCCCATTAAATTATATATGCATGTATGTGTATATATTCATATAATGTAGAAAGTAACCAGCTTTCCCCAAAGAAAAGGATCACTGGTAATACAGTAGTTAAAGGTCTCGGCTGCTAACTAAAAGTTCAGCGGTTCAAACCCACTCTGGCAGGAGAAAGCTGTGGCAGGCTGCTCCCATAAAGATTACAGCCTTGGAAATCCGAGGGGGAGGTTCTCCTTTATCGTAAAAGGATCATCTCAAAGGCAAAAGGCTTTTTCCTTAAAGAAAGGATACTTTACACCAATATTTACTGACCGATAGGGTTATCAGCATCATCTTATTAATGAAAAGAGTGAGTCAGAGTAATTATTCCATTCCAGTTTAAAAACCTTCCAGCCATGTATGCTTCTTAATGAGAACACATAAGGAGAAACAAGCAGTCCACACATTAAGCAGGTAACTTTGGTACCTGGGTGGGGAGAGTGGAGTCAAGAACAAGAAAGGAGGAAAGGATTAAGTTTTGCTTTTTACCTCTTTTTAAGATTTTTTTTTTTTTTCAGTTTCACTTTTTTTAGAACAAGCCTTTATTAGTTTTGTAATTTGCAAAACATCAAGGAAGGAAAATTTAAAGGGAAGAGAAAGATCACCTTTGTTGTCGCCACAGCCACAGCACACTGTGGGTTTATATTGGGCTCCTGATTAATTAAACTTCACAAACCTTCTTTTACATAAATCGTTCTGTCTCCTCCAACCTGTGCTCATAAAATTGATTTTTGCAAACAAAATTTAGAAGCGTATATTTAATCTGTGATAAATTTCACATTCTTTATTCTGGCCTTTCATTTTAAACTGGCTATTGTTTTCTTTAATATTTTTTTTCCATCCAATTTACAAGCTTTCTCTTCCAGTTATTGATCATCTACAATTTGGGCTCCTGTCTATCTCGGTTAGTGGAGGTCAGAACTAGGGAACCAGACAGTAATTCACTGGAGGCCACTTGCTAGGAAGTAGTAACCCAGTCATAAACACTGTTCTATATTGTTTCACCAGCCAACTGTCACTACACTTAGCCGTGTTTTCTGCAAGCCCCAGGATCTCTGTGGATTGTACTCTGCACAGCCGTAGATGCTGACTCTGAACCTCCCAGCTCCCAGTTCTCCAAGTCTATCCCAGCAATCGGACAACACTTTGTCATGACCCATAGGATTTTCATTGGCTAATTTTTGGGAAGTAGGTCATCATGTCTTTCTCCTAGTCTGTCTTAGTCTGCAAGCTTTGCCGAAAGCTGTCCTCCATGGGGATCCTGCTAGTATTTGAGATACTGGTTGCCTTCACAGAGACACAAAAACTACCACAGTGTGACAAACTGATTAACCAACTGACAGATGGAACAAATCTAAACAAAGGCAGAAGAATGAACCAATCAGTCTTGGAAGAAATGCAACCAGAATGTTTCTAGAAGCAAGGATGGTGAGATGTCAACTTGCTAAAAAAGGACATCATGTTTGGCTGAGAAGAGAACAAAAGAAAACAGGAGAAACCCTCAATGAGATGGAGTGACACCACAGCCACACCAGTGGACTCAAGGCTACCACGGATCAGAAAGACGGCAGGCACACCACCGGACACCCTTTCATTCAGTTATACATCAAGGCACTATGAGTTGGAGCCAACTCGATGACAACAACAATAACAATCCCAGCAAAGCCAATAACTGCTACAAGGCGATTTCATCCTGTGAAGAAAACAAACTTTCTGAACCTAAAAATATCCTACCTAAAACCAAATGTGGGATAACGAGGGGATATCCTGGTTTCTCCCTTCTTATTGACAACACCCACACACACACATCCACACATGTGAGTGAACCCGTTTTGATTAGGAAAAGTGGCCGCAGAAGCTCTTGTCCCTGACTCAGTTTCATCGCCCCCAGTCTTCTGGAACCACTTCCACTTACCATGCCTTCTCCAAGATGGCCAGCAGTGGTTGGGTGTTTGCAGAGCAGATGCCCTCTGACCCTGTCATTCAGGGTTTGACTCGTGTATGTGTCTTCTCCTCTACCAGCAGCCTCCTTCTCCATCTCCACCCTTCCCCTCTCCATCTTGCTCAATCCTGCTCGTGTTTTAGCACTCCATCATCACAGCTTCTGACCTCCTCCTCCTTGTTCACACTGGGTTCAACCCCCTAGCATCCTATACAGAGCCCTATCATGATACATGTGATGCCCTCCAGTATTCCAGTGAATTCCATTCACTTTATTTCTTTTTCTGATTCCCTAAGGCTTCTAAGGATAAAAGCCTTGGAGCAGGAACTGAGAATGACTGTTTCTCCCTCGCTTTGCCCAGTGGTTGGCATGTCATAGGTACTGTTAATTTTTTGGTGAAAGAATGAATCAACAAATACAATGAGGATGAACTTTAATACATTTGAAACAGCTAGGACTTCATGATGTCTTCACTTATCTTGGCCTTCAATTTCTTCCAAAATATTTGTTTGACACTTTCCCATTTGAACCCAGTTTTCCTCAGTGGAGGGGCCTTAGGAGGATTGAAGCTGAAGGGCCTTGCTTTCCTTCTGTCATCTGTTAGCATCATACAATCTGCTCCAAGCAGAGAGCCTCCTCTTTGCTTCTCTCTGGCACTAAACAGAGTTTTAAAAGCCCCTTTTTGTTGCCGTTGCATTTTTTGCAAGCCTCAGTCAGCTCACTCTGGTCATCGTGCTTCAGAAAGCGTTTTTTAAAACACCACCTTTCTGTTTCATTCATCTTCACTTAGGTTCAACTTTCAAGCTCAGCACGTGTTCACTTCCTACCGGAAGCTCATCAGGTAGTTGCTAAGCCATCACAGTCATGTGAGGTTTTTTGCCTAATCCCCCTTTTTCTTTTTTATCAAGATCTTCTGGGATTGTAGTGTCAAAATTGTGTTTATTGAATAACTGAGTTTTTATTTTCCTATGACGTCTCTGGACATAGAGTAATACTCATACTTTAAATAAATCTTTTTTAATGACTAAAATCTGTGATCAATGTTATCCTTCTTAAGTATTTACATTTTTGTTTGTTGGGTTTTGAGGGATGGGTTATTTTTACCCAGGTTGATACTGTTTCTAACTATTCAGTCAGTTCTTTCTTGGTTTTGTGGTTTAAAAATTAGCCCAGAAAAGCAGTTTTCCTCATGCCATAGTGGTCTTGTATGTAAAGTCAAGAAGACTTAGATTTTAATCTTCCTTTAGTTGCTTTAACAAAGTCAAACCTATTGCCAAAGAGGAAATTCCAACTCCTACTGACCCTCTAGGACCTAGTGCCCCATAGGGTTTCCTAGGCTGTAAATCTTTACGAAAGCAGACTGCCAATCTTTCATCCATGGAACGAAAGGTGGGTTAGAACCTCTGACCTTCTGGTTAGCAGCCAGACACTTAAGCACTGCAATACTGGGCTCCTTTTAGCTACTTATTAGGTGTTTTACCTTGAGAAACATCTTACCCTGTAAGTGCCTGAGTTTCTTTTTCTGTTTAAACTATTCATCACAATCATACCTGCTCTAATGTCCACTTCTCTCATACATTGTGCAATAAAGCAGATAGCCAACACAACCCTTCCAAGCCTTTATAGTCTTTAATTTAATTTAATCTTTATTGGGATTTGGGTGAAATTTTACAGAGCAGATTAATTTTCCATACAGGGATTCATACACATTTTGTTTCCTGACATTGACTGCAATTCCCCACGATGTGACAGCTCTCTTCCCAATTCCTCCCTGCAGTTCTTCCCTATGTTCTGTGTTCCCATTCATTTCTGTGCCCTGCACTATCTCCCTGTGCAAATACTGCCCTCTGTTTTCCATGATTGATCGCTCTAAGGACTGTGTCTGACTGATGTAAATGTTCACCCCATATGCCTGTATATTGTTTGGCTGGAAGCCACGGGAGTGAGTTCAGTTCCAGACGTGAAGAGTAACTAGGGGCCATAGTTTTGGGAGTTTCACCAGGCTCTATCAGACCAGTGAACCTGGTCTTTCTAATGATTTTGAGTTTTGTTCCACATTGTTCTCCCACGCTATCCAGTATCTCCTGAACCAATCCCTTTCCCAGTGATAGCTGGGCACCATCCAGTTCTTCTGGTCTCATGGTCATATAGGCTGAGGTTCACATGGCCTACTAGTCCCTTGGACTAATTGTTTCCATGCAACTTTGGTTTTCTTCATTCTTCTTTGCTTTGGATAAGGAAAAACCCATTGTTGCATCTAGATAGCCGCTTGCAAGTTTTAAGACCCCAGTCACTACTCACTAAAGTAGGATGTAGAACAATGTTTGTGTGTGTGGTAAGTTATGCCAATTGAACTTGATGGGCCCTGTGACTATGGTCCCAAGCCCACAGGTCCAACAACTCACTCCATCAGGGTGGTTGACTATCCCTAAGAAGTTATTCATAACTTTGCCCACTATTAATTCTAGTGATGTGGACATTGTCACAGCTCTCTTTATTTAAATATAGCACATTCTGTTGTGAAATGAAAGAATATAATAGCCATCTCACAGTTTTCCAAGACCATAATTTCATTATAGGTCCTTGTACCAAATTTAAGATAAGATTCTCAATATTTTTCCTGAAGAATAGCTCATTTTGATTTCTCCCAAGGTTCATAGTCTATGTATTGCATTCTTACACTGACTCTAGCATCATAGACAGTGAGGGGACACCATTACCCAAAAAGGACTTCTGGAACTTGAGCCATGACTCCTAGCTATATACTAAGTAACTAACTAACCAGTTGTCACTGAGTCAATTCTAATTTATGGTGACTCGGTGTGTGTCAGTATGACTGTGCACCATAAGGTTTTCAATGGCTGGATTTTTAGAAGTAGGTCGCCACACCCTTTTTCTGAGGCACTTCTGGGTGGGTTCAAACCACCAGCCTTTCAGTTAGTAGCCATTGCTTTAACTGTCCTCACCCAAATCGCACTAAAAAATGAAAAAAAAAAAAAAAAAAAAACTGCCCCATAGGGTTCTAAGGCTGGAAAGCTTGACTCACCTTTCTCCTGTGGATCAGTTTGTGAGTCAAATCTTTTGTTTAGCAGCTGAGCACTAAACCACTGCGTCATCAGGACTCCTTCAGCTGTATGCTTGGGCCTGATGAAAGTGTGAAAGTCATCTGGAAAATGGGGCATAGCTCTTCTGCCAGCCGTACCACCTTTATGCACAAAATCAATCTGAATTTCTATTTTCCCCAAAATACACCCCTTATGACATTTTTTATAAACACAGTTATGTGCTTTTCTTTCCATTTATTCTTTCTTAAAAATCATCATGTACCAGATAAATTTATATTAATTGAACTTCTAAGGAGCTGAGTTTGTATTGTTTCCAATATACAACAAAAATCACTATCATTTCAACTCTGTCATTCACATATAAAATATTACCAGGATTACTACCACCATGCTGAGGTCAATGGAGAAGGCCAGCTTTGAGATGAATACTTGACAATAATAAAGAAACATGCGTAAACTATTGATTTACTTATTCCTTGCATGACCCCACCACCACCACCACCAGGTTTATCTTTTTGAGCCAATGACAATTCTAACAGTTTTATTAAGACAATTAATGGTGACTAAGAAGACAGCAACCAAGTGGTGGCTGACACTCCAGCAAACAGGTACATTATTACGGGGTTGCTGGCCCAGGAGCACAGAATCTTCTAGGAAGATGGTCATTGCCCAGATGAGACAAAGGTTCCATAGAAAGTCAACTCCCCACCTTTACATGAAATATTGTAGTCATCATTTAATAACCCACCACACATCCCAAACCTTTTCCAGGGAATTAAAAAGATATTTTTTGTCTTCACTTTTCAGCAGAGTCAGTAGAAAATTTGAACTGAAAAGCAAAAATTGATATTAAGAGCTACCAATATGCTTATTTACTCTGCATTAAAAAAAAAAAAAAAAAATGTCAGGATAAAAGTTTGGTTAGGTTTCCCAAGAAAGCGATTTCTATACTCCTTAAGCAGCTGGTTCCGTGTGGATAAATACTACAATGGGAAAGCTAAGAAAAGACAGATTTTCATTATTGAAGGGATGTGTGCCACTTCAGTTAAAACTAACAGCCAAGAGTCATTCAAATATATTTAGATTAAACCAACTAATTTTTTTTTTCTTTGAATAACTAAAACAGACATTTTACATCCCTCTGGCTTCTTTTCAACAATGGCTATTACTTCATTCCCTTGCCATGAAACACAACTATACTTTCTAACTGATAATAAGAATAATATAAATGTTATAAGGAGTCCAGTATTAAGTGCATCACTGGGAAATCATTGGAATGTACAAAAAGAGAGCTCTGTACATAAGAAGAATTCACCTTTATTGTGTGAGATTGTATCATACTAGGAATAGTTAGATTCTCCATTTTACAAAAGACTTAGCATCCTAATTCAACAACCTGTTACAATTATGAACATCAAAAATATTTTCTCTAAATTTAGAGAGTGAAACTTGTTTTGCAAAAAAAAAAAAAAAAGCTCCCTCCCCCTTATGTAGAATTATTTTGGGGATGCCCACATAATTGCACCAATTTTAATTTATAGTATCCATTTATTATTTCTATTGTTTTACTTTCTAATGAAAGTGTTATGCTCTGCAGAAATGCAGTGCAATGAGGCAAGTCTAGTACTATTTTTTGTTGTGCTGTGTTACCATCTACTTTTTTATTTATGCTAAGCTATTGTTTTAGATGAGTCTTAGTTTTTCTACATTACGATGGTTCACTCTTGCAGAAATGTATGCAAATTATTTTATTTTGTGAAAAATGGAAGGCAAAATCATGCATTATGCTGCTCTTGCAAAAAAAAAAAAAAAAAAGAGAGAGAGAGAGAGAAAGAAAGAAAAAGAAAATCATTAGCTCTTGCCAAAAGCAAAGCAGTTGATCTCCTGCCATGCTATTGTATATGATTACTAATTTTCTATCAACGATTGTCCTATGATAAGCAGAATGGTCCCTCAATGATGCTAAAGGCAGATGATCCTTTGATAATTCAGCAAGACTACCTCTAACTACTTCCCTGAAGGGCCTTTTTAAGGAAACCAAATCTATGGCTTTTTTGGAAATGCCAGGGATGTTATAAACATGCTTTGGGCAGATTTAACTGCAATATTAATTAAACTATCCTCTCATTCTCTAATTAATTATGAAATCATAGAATAATAGATTGGAACGGGACCTTGAGAGATCAATAGAGTCAGTACCCATAGCCTCTGGAGGGACCATATATAAACTATTCTGGACCCATGGAAAACTCTCTTATCTTCCAAATGTTGGCAACCACAATTTTATCTACAAACACCTTTCATTACCAATCTATTGACAGCAATTAGCAGGAGAAAGTGTTTCCACTGACCCCATGGCAACCAACAACAACACACCCTGTATAGTAATCACCATTTTCAGAGTAGTTGAGAACACCAGAGGCCCAGCTGCTAGGTTTGCATTCATTATTTCACTTCCTAAAGGAACTATGTTCCCTCTTCAGGCTAAAAATGCCCATGTTTCTATTTCACAACATTCTAACTTTCCAGTTAGCTGCTCTAAATTCTTTTTAAATATTCCATATTGTCCCTTACTTCTCAAGCTAGTATTTATGAAGAAAGATGTGACCAATGCTGACTAAGAATAATCTGACAAAGACCACCCTAGCCAAATTATTCTGCAGAAAACAGTTGTTTTTTGACATAATCCCACCCACCACCAAAATCAGGGAATATTAGTCTACCTACCAGTTCTCCTCCTAATTGTCATACCAAAACTCAAAACCAAACTCACCGCCATCAAGTCGGTTTCAACTCATAGTGACCCCATTGGTTTCCAATGTGAGAAATCTTTATGGAACTAGATTGCCCTATCTTCCTTCTGTAGAGTGGCTGTTGGGTTTGAACCACCAACCTTCTGGTTAGTAGTCAAATGCCTTAGGCACTACACCACCAGAGCTCCTTTATTGTCATAACTGCCTTACAATTTCAGTATATTAGGCTCTGATGAATTTATCTATGCACACACAAGTAAGATGTCCTAATTTTAAGTAAAGTTTTAAGAACTCAACTCATGTTATCACTATTGATGGTGATGGTGATGATAACAATAATAATAATAAATTATATGTTGCTGTTGTTATGTGCCGTCAAGTCAGACCCGACTCCTAATGACCCCTCCTTGGATTTCCAAGGCAGTATCACTACAGAAGTAGATTGCCCCATCTTCCTTCTGAGGAGTGGCTGGTGAGTTTGAACCACCAGCCTTCCGGTTAGCAGTCAAGTGCCTTAGGCATTATGCTACCAGAGCACTTAAATTATACATATTGATCCTAATTCATTTTCATAGGTAATTATATGATTATTGCAAAAAATAAATCATCACAATTAAAGGTAAATGATTTTTGGCAACTACCTTGCAAATTTTTCATTATGTCCTGAGATAGCGAAGCTTGATTTTATGTGGTACATTCAAGGAAGAACAAAGAAGGCAGTGTGTTGGAGGGTAAGACAACACAAGAGATGTCATAGTAGAAGATGAGGCAGAGAGCTGACCAGATTGTGTATGTCCTTATAAGATAGTATAAGGAGTTTGGCTTTTACTCTGAATAAAATGGGAAGACAACAGAGTGTTGTTTTTGTTGTTGTTGTTTGTTGTGATCTTTTTTTAAGAAAAAGAGTGACTTGACGTAAGTATTCAAAAAAGCCACCACTTGTCTGTCAGTTTGTTGTACTGTGGTAGCTTATATGTTGCTGTAACACTAGAAGCTATGTCACCAGTATTTGAAATATCAGCAGGGTCACCCAGGGTGGACAGGTTTCAGCAGAGCTTCTACACTAAGACGGACTAGGAGGAAAGATGTGGAGGTCTACTCTTGAATAAAATGGCCACTGAAATCCTTATGAATAGCAGTGAAGCACTGTTTGACATAGTGCCAGAAGATGCACCCAGGTTGGAAGGCACTCAAAATACCAACGGGGAAGAGCTGCCTGCCCAAAGTGAAGCAATCTTTACGATCTGGATGGAGTAATGTTTCCATGGCCTTCATTTGTTGATGGGGCATGACTCAAAATGAGAAGAAACCACTGTAAACATTCATTACTAATCAAGACGTGGAATGCACAAAGAGTGGATCTAGGAAAATTGGAAATTGTCAAAAATGAAATGGAATGCATAAAAAGATTAATATTCTAGGCATCAGTGAGCTGCAATGGATGCATTTTGGCCATTTTGAATCAGATAGTCATATGGTCTACTATGCTGGGAATGACAAATTGAGGAGGAATGGTGTTACATTCACTGTCAAAAGGTACATTTCAAGATCTATCTTGAAGTACAATGCTGTCAGTGATATGATAAAATCCATATACCTACAAATAGGGTCACTATGAGTTGGAGCCAACTCAACAGCACTAACAACAATAACAACAACATAAGAAAGGCTGGTTAATACTATTATTATTCAAATTTACATACCAACCACTGAAGCCAAAGATAGAGAATTTTGGAATCTGAAATTGACCAAACATGTAATCAAGATGTGTTGATAATTGCTGGTGATTGGAGTGTGAAAGCCAGAAACAAATAAGAAATATTGGTACTCAGAAAATATGGTTTTGGTGGATAGAAATGATGCCAGAGATCACTTGATAGAATTTTGCAAGACCAATGATTTATTCAGTGCAGACATCTTTTTTAAATAAGCAGCAACTATACAGGTGGACCTCACCAGATGGAATACACAGGAATGAAATCAACTACATCTATGGAAAGACAAGGGGAAGCTCAGTAGCGTCAGTCAGAATAAGGCCAGGGCCCACTGTGAAAGATACCATCAGTTACTCATATTCACACTGAAGATGAAACTGAAAAAAATTAGAACAACTTCACAAGAGCCAAAATACAACCTTGAGTATATCCCATCTGAATTTAGAGACCATCTCAAGAATAGATTTGATGCATTGAATATCAATGACCAAAGACCAAATGTGTGATGCTATCAAGAACATCATACATGGATAAAGCAAATGGTAATTAGAGAGATAAGGAAGAAAGAAAAGCCCAAAATGGATGGCAGAAAAGACTCTGAAACTTGCTCTTGAGTGTAGAGTAGCTAAAGTGAATTAAAGAAATGATGAAGTAAAAGAGGTGAACAGATTTCAAAGGGTGGCTCCAGAAGACAAAGTCAAATATTATAACAAAATGTGCAAAGACCTGGAGTTAGAAAATAAAAATAGAAAAACACACTCGGCATTTCTCAAGCTAAAAGAGCTGAAGATAAACATCAAGCCTCAAATTGCAGTACTGAAGGATTCTATTGGGAAAATATTGAATGATGCAGACAGCATCAAAAGAAGATGGAAGGAATACAGAGTCACTGTACCAAAAAGAATTGGTTGATGTTCAACCAGTTCAGGAGGTAGAGCATGGTGAAGAACCACAGGATTGAAGGAAGAAGTACAAGCAGCCCTGAATGAATTGGCAAAGAAACAAGGCTCCAGGAATTGATGGAATACCCACCGAGATGTTTCAACAAACAGATGCAATGCTAGAAGCACTTACTCATTTATATCAAGAAATTTGGAAGACAGTTACCTGGCCAACCAACTGGAAAAGATCCATATTTGAGCCCATTCCAAAGAAAGAGGATCCAAAAAAATGTAGAAATTATTGAAGAATATCATTAATATCACACACAAATAAGATTTTGCTGATGATAATTCAAAACTGGTTGCAGCAGTATATTGACAAGGAACATCTAGAAATTCAAACTGGATTGAGAAGAGAATGTAGAACAAGGGATATCATTGCTGGTGTCCGATGGGTCTCAGCTAAAAGCAAAGAATACCAGTAAGATGTTTACCTGTGTTTTATTGACTATGTAAAGCCATTTGACTATGTAGATCGTAACAAATTATGGATAACATTACAAATAACGGGAATTCAGGAACACTTCATTGTGTTCGTGAGGAACTTGTACAAAGACCAAGAGGCAATTGTTCAAACAAAACAAAGGGATATTGCAAGTTTAAAATCAGGAAAACTGTGTTTCAGGGTTGTATCCTTTCACCATACTTATTCAATTTATATACTGAGCAAACAATCTGAGAAGCTAGACTATATGAAAAAGAACACGTCATCAGGATTGGTGGAAGACACATTAACAACCTGCAACATGCAGATGACACAACTTTGCTCTCTTAAAGTGAAGAAGACTGAAAGCACTTACTGATGAAGATCAATGACTACAGTCTTCAGTATGCATTATATCTCAACTTAAAACAAAAATCCTCACAGCTGCATCAATAAGCAACATCATAATAGATGGAGAAAAGATTGAAGTTGTCAAGGATTTCATTTTACTTGGATCCACAGTCAACATCCATGGAAGTAGCACTCAAGAAATCAAATAATGTATTGCATTGGGAAAATCTGCTGCAAAAGATTTTTTAAAGTATTCAGAAGCATAGATATCACTCTAAAGACTGAGGTGTGCCTGCCCCGAGCCATGGTATTTTCAATAGCCTTATATGCATGTGTGATAGTTGAAGATGTGTGTATTCTTGGGATCTGGAAGCATTCCCTTTGCAGTGTCATAGATACCGAAGTAGGCAGCTTGGTAGATGATAATACCCTGCACAGACATATTAAAGCCTTGGTACAGGCCCCTAATCCCATCCGACTTGTAGATCTTAATGAGGCAGTCACCGAGGCCTCTGAACTCCCTTTCGGCGCCAGCTTTACCCACATCAGCCGCTAGACGGGTACGGGCAAAATCAAGAGGGTATACAAAGCACAAAGACATGGCCCCTGCAGCGCCACCTGATGCCAGGTTCCCTGCAAAGTAGCGCCAAAACTGGGTCCTCTTGTCCACACCACCCAGGAAGATCTGTTTGTATTTATCTTTGAAGGCGAAGTTGAGAGCCTGGGTGGGGAAGTATCGGATGACATTGGCCAGGTTACCACACCAGAAGGACAGGACACCCTGCTCCTTGGGAATGTGAACCACACAGTCGATAATGCCCTTGTACTGCTTATCTGCAGTGATTTGCTTACTGGCGTGCTGCACCTG